TTGTTTTTTTGTTGTTGATTTTTACCTTTGTGTTAAAAGTAAAAACAAAATAAATTTATCAGTGATTCTTGAGAATAGGGACAAAATGGGTTTTAATTTTCCCATAATTGTTTTTTTGTTACTTCTAAACCTTATGTATGCAAATATGACAAATAATGTTTTGGAAATGTAAAGATGCTAAGGTACAGGCTCCTAGTTGCAACATTTTTTTAAAAATTACATTTTTAATCGACCTGACCCAGAACTTTGTCATCAACATCTGACAAAAATAAATATAAAATGATTTTTAAAATACCCTATTAGTGATATTTTTACTCATTTTACAGACAAATGCTTCTCAGGAAACAAAACAAATATTATTTAAAACAATAAACAACAAAAAGTCCATCTGTCGGAGTTGACACAGAACTGAAGGTGGTGACAAACTAGTGAGTAAAAAGAAAAACTTGATACATGTGAAGTAATGCAATTCATGTAAAATACATTCAAATGAATTATTTGCACATTTAAGTGAGATTTGACAACAATTTCACTGAAAGAGTCACAAAAACTCTGATGGAGTTGACATCTGACGGAGTTGACAAAAAGCCAAACTACCTCAATTTATATGATGTTATTCTGAAGGAGGCCATATTGTAGCTCATCAAGTCCATGAAATCTTTACATTATACTAAAATTAAGCTTTTATTTCACAAAATTTCATCAAAGTTTTGTAAATTGTCGGTTATGGAGTTGACACATCATGGTTGTGACGAGCAACTTAGGAATAAAACAGAAGAAAAAACTAAAGAATAACATATGCTAACCAGAGCTAACTAGCCCTCCTAGCAAAGGAAGAGAAAAGACGACGTCATGGGGTCCTCAGAAGTTCTGGTGCCCCCCAATAATGCCTGATTTTTTTTTTACATTCTTTTCATTTCTGACGGTGTTGACAAAAACTAGGGACAAATTTCAATGGAGTTGGAAAATATATAAAAATGATTTTTAATTCAATTTATTGATACCTCTATAATTATTTATATGACTACTTATACTTAATTGTCATAATATATAATTTTAGTATTTCTTTAATTGTTTTAAACTATTATAATGTATTGAGTTCTGCTCCTGGACAAGGGATTTTACAGGCATCATCCACCAACTACAATGTTTAAAATAAAAAAATATTCAGCAAACACCAGGAAAATATACATTGTTGTGCTCACATGACCCAGGTTAGTCAGATATTTGAAAAAATTATATTTTGTGTATATTTTATTCAAATTTTGTGCTTTATCCATAGGACCTGTTTTGTCCCTATTCTCAAGAATCACTGTAATATATAAAAGCATGTGATTGTATTCTGATAAATAGTGAAACATATATGTATATCAATGTTTTGTGTTCATCAGTGACACTTTGAACATTGTACTGGAGCTCACTGCTTGTCTACGTTAACAGCTTGGTTCCTCCATCTATGTTTGACAGGTTTTGAGTTCTTTGAAGCAAGCGCCAAAGACAACATCAACGTGAAGCAGACGTTCGAGCGACTGGTGGACATCATCTGTGAGAGGATGACAGAGACTCTGGACAACAATGACCCAACGGTCATTGGAGCCAAGCAGGGGCCACAGCTCAATGAGCAGCCCCAAAGGTCTCACCAAGATTGCGCTTGCTGAATGCACACATAAGCGCATATGCACACACCCACATGCACGCACACACCGCTTATCCTGATTTTTCAAGTTTTTTTTTTTAGTCTGGATCTTTTTGTAATATGCAGGTACAAAACGTCCCTGCACATAAACACTGCCATCCATCCACAGCCCCACTCCAGGAGCAGAGTCTGCCCAGAGCCGGGCCTTCCAGGGGTTGTCCTTCTGCTCAGCAACATTATCTGACTCTTTCACACACTTCTTAAACACACTAAGCTGTATGTTACCAGATGTGCAACAGTTGTAATTATTGTCCCTCTGAAAAGGTGTTTGTTGCTGAAGTCGGTTCATGTAGGCGTGTTTTAGAGGATCTGAAATCCTCTTTTTAGTGTTGTGGTGGACTTTTAGGGAGTTTTTGGACCCAAGTTCAATGTTCAGGCACAGTTGTTCTTAAATTAAGAAATTATTGAATTCATTTAAATATTTATCTTCAAGACATATATTTATAATAGATCTCAAGTGTTTAAAATGCAGGGTTTTGTGACTTAAAAAAAGGCCATGATAAATTATCTCAAATTATTTTTCTTTATTAATGAGACATACATCCTGTATAATCCAACTGAAAACAAATCTGCTTTAGTAAAAGAAAAAAAAAATAGAAAGGTGCAACAACCCAGATGCATAAATTTTCACACCCTTAAGTTAATATTTTTCTGAAGCTTCTTGTGATTCACTTTAAACATTCAGTCATCTTGGCTCTCCACAGCTTAGTTTAGGCCTCATCCAAACATGGCTAGATATCTGGGGGGAAAAATACACTTTTTTCACATTTTGGCTTTTCATCCACACAAAACTGTTTAATATCACTAAAAACGATTATTTATAGAAACTCCCATCATAATAAGGATAATTTTACGATTCTCCTTATTGGTGTTTGTGTGTGTACATTGGAAAACAGACATTTACAAATAATGCGCCAAATATATCCACATACGATTCCCAACTGATATAATGTTGTATTTTAATAACCTGATTAAAAGTAGTTCAACCTATATACGTTTCTAACCAAATGAAACTACTGGCCATAGACATAATATAAGAGTAGACGCCACATTGGCCGTATTTCCAGCGCAGGAAATACGGCAGCCATCTTGGAGCGGTTGTCCCTCCTACTTTGCTCAACCAAAACAGCAGAAGATGCCTCAGCACTGAGGGATATTGTTGTTCGGATCGATGGACTAATGATGTGAGGACTCGACAGACAACATTTCACAAGTAAGATGGACATATTATTGTGTGTATATATTGTAATTAGAATATTATTTTACTGTATTTATGTCCACCGGTGAATACCAGCTAATATTATCTACAGTGCTTGGTGTATTTCCGGGGTTCAGCCCAGCTATGAAGGTTAACCGAGATTCCGTAAATCTAAAAATTAATCATTCTCTAACGTTGGCTTGGATTATCTGGCACAAGAGCCTACATTAGAAATGTGACAATGTAACATATATTATAAAACGTATATTACTTGTTATAACCTTGACCAGCAAAGTTTACACAGGTGGTAAAGACTATTATTTATATTCTTTCACTCTGTCAAAAGTAAGATACATCCTAAATCTTCTGTTTTTGTTTTGAAGGTTTCCTAAAGACACGATGTGAGGAAGAAGTGGGAAATATCTTTAAAGAGAGACGGATTCACTGCACAGCTCGGATGACTCTCGCATCGGATTTTGGACTCAATCACAGCTGCTGAATCCCTCTGAAGCTAGAACTGGTTGGCTGGAAAACAGCTGACAAATAATATATATTAGGCTATACATGTTTATATGTGTATACATATAAACATGTATCTATTAAATATTCAGTATTATTAATCTGTCATTATTAATCATTATTTGTTTGTATATTTATATAAATATGTATTGATATTACTAAATAATTTATTAAATAAATTATGAACGGCTGTGTGCTTTGTAAAATGCTTATCATACATCAGTATCAGAATTAAAAAAATACAATTGTTTATAAATGTAGCTTTGATAGCTGTTTGGTATAAGGTTTCCAGTAACAAAAAAGCGGGTTATAATCGATTAGAAGCGCTGATACGTCATTGTGCCTGCCAAACGTATAACGCTGAGTGGAGCGGTTGACCGCTCCAAGATGGCTGCCCTAAATCTCGTCAGCTACAATAGGCGAGAGCGGTCCATGATGCGTCTATTCTTACATTATGTCTAGGCTCGTGGCACCATGTTTTCTTCCTAATAGGAAGCTGTGGTTGTTTTGAAGCAACCTTATTGGCTGAGATAGGTTGTAGCATTGCGCTACACTGCCCCCTATGGGTTTGGTATCTTTAAAACCAAAACTCACAGAAAGATCTGTTTGGGTCCATGTAGATCAGGGGTGTCCAAAGTCTGTCCTCGAGGGCCGGCAACCTGTATATTTTAGTTCTCTCCGTAGTGGTAGTAACAATCTCCTCAGCAAGTCAATGTTCTCCTTAGGCCTTCTAATGAGCCATCATTTGATGCAGGTGTGTAAAACCAGGGAGAGAACTAAAACATGCAGGATGCTGACCCTCTAGGACTGACTTTGGACACCCCTGATGTAGATGAAATGTTTTCTGAAACTGATCCCATGTGTACAGTATTATTTTTTAAACAGTATGGCGGAGATATTTGGTTTTATAAAGACCCAGCTACGTGTTTACAAGGCTTTAGTAATATTTTCCCACTCGGATGTATTAAAGTTCTCCAAATATATCCACTTGTGAGGACATATGTTTTCCACAGCCCTTCTTGGATTCAGATTCATTTCTTGGCTCCAGTGAAGACATTTTCCTCAGACTCAGTGATGCTAAAACATCAAATCCACCTTCAACTTCAGTTTTCTAGGAAACACTTCTGCATTTTATTTGGAGCTGTACATAATCTCACCCACTGTGACAAAAAACATCTTCCCCAGAGCATAATGCTGCCACCACCATGTTTCATTGTGGGTATGATGTTCTTTTATTGAATCTCGTCGTCATTGTGGCCCAGAAAATCCATTTGGGTTTTATCAAATGGTAGTGGAAGTTCTGGATGTGTGCAGGAGTCTCACATCACAGCTCCTTTTTCTGCTCGTTATCACATATAGAACACACCCAGCACTTTTTCCTGCAGCTCTTTCCGTGTTGCTGTTAGTCTACTAGCAACCTCACTGACCCAGTTCAGCATCATAGCTTCATTGCTTTTGGAGAAATGTCCTGTTAACAGAGCATGGCTATTGTCCCCATTTTATTTATCTATTTTCATTGTGCCATGATTTGAATGTAATGCTGAGGATTTTCATGTACCATCTTCTGATTGGTACTTTTGATCTGTTCTACAGAGCTAAAGACAACATCAGGAAAATTTTTAACTCAAGAACAGCTGAATGTTGTTTACATTTAATCAGGTGTACTATGATTTATATAGTAATGAAGTTAGGAAGACAATCAAAAGTATTATTTCAGGGTTTGCACACTCGTGCAACTAGATAATTTTTTTGTTTTGTTTTCTATCTTCCCCTCTAACAGATGTTTGCTTCCAGTTGAATTGAACAGGATGCCTGTTGGACTAGAGGTGGGAAAAGTGATCATTTGATCATAGTTTTCTTTATTTCACACAAACCTAGCATCTTAACAAAGGTGTTTTTACTTTTGAGAGCAAAAACATATAGTAAATCTCTATGAAAAATTAAAGTCAACATTCTGGTTGTAAAGAACAACATAACTTGAATGTTTAATGCTTTTATAAAACTCGCTGAGCATTGGCTCTAAGTCACATCACAGTAGGAGAATACCAAATGTATCTAGCCACTCAAGATTTGATAAATATCTATAAATGTTAATAAATATGCATTTTAAAATGCAGATATTTACAGTATCCATGTAAACTGATTGTGAGGCAGTGGTTGGATTCCTGCCTGTGCTGTAGTCAGAGCTGCATGTTGTTGATTTCACACTTCTTCCGACTGGTTTATTTGTATGAACTGTTGATTTTACTGATGTTACTCTCATCGGTCCCACTCACTCTACTACTTTAAAATGCCAGATCGGTGTGAAAAGTTTCTAATGTTTAACTCTTGACACCTCACAGCTTTTATTCAGTGCATATAGTGGGTGTTGGTCATCCCTCCCTTCGCCATTCCACTCTTCTGCAGTTTTAGTTGTTTCCTTCCGTGCATCACAGAACATTTTGTACCAATCATGCATCAATCTGTTCTCAGCCAAGGGTACGTCTTGTACCCAATTTAACAACCAGTAATAGGAACTTTTTATGTCCTGCTGTAGGGAATACTTTTATTTAATTAAATGTAAAAAACAACTTATATATCCTAAAAGGAAATGAAATATCTTAACTCATCATCCAAGTATCTTCAGAGTTGTTGTTGAAGGTGATGCTGCAGGCACAAAGGATCTCCAGTAGCAGTCGGGCTTGCAACAAATCTGAAGAAGCCTCTGCCTAAAACTTGTTTGCTGTATGACAGTATCATGGCTGTCATGAGATCCTAGCAGCTCAGTATCCAGGCAGCAGAGACGATATTCCCCAGTAACATGTCCTGGATTACTCCATCAGTTGTTGGGAAGCTCTGCTAATCCATCTCATTTGCTTTTGCCTCATCTTTTTTACATCTTTGTTTGGCTGTATAGTTAGAAACCGAGAAAGAGAAACATTGGAGTCTGGGATATGACTTCTATAAATCATTTCTAAAGAAAAGCTTCATAAGAACCAAGTGGTCCCAGCAGTTGGAAAAATTCTAATCCATGGGAATTGGGTTCCATTGAAAATCTTACAAAAATTATACTAAATTAAATTAGACTACATGTATGATCAGAGCTATATATATTTTTTTATCTTCCTTCCATTATTCTTCTAAACACCTATTTAATGAGAGACATAAAATGATGTACATTGGTCAAGTGGAAATGAAATGGTTTGTTTGCTGGTAAAATGGAAGTAGGTGGGAAGAAGATGAGGTTCTGATGAAGAGGTGAAGGGACACATTGACAAAGAGACTAAATGGACTATCAGAACCCCGAGGTAGTCAGGCATGCCATCAGAACTGATCCATCTGTTTGTTTTCTGCAGAAACCAAAGCAGACGGATTTTTGAGGCCGTCTGCTTAGGTTTCTGCCGATGCAGTGAAGAACGTGTGTGCGCTTGTTTTTACTACTAACCAACTCATGCAGTCACAAAATTGCTGAGGCATGCACCAAGTGTTTCACATGAATTATTTATTTTCTTATTTATGATCTAACTTATTTTTTTGTACTATTTAAGATTATGCATTACATTCTGCATGTTTTGAGGAGATGTTTGCTTGTATCCAGTAGCCTGAAATTTTCCAGCACTTCTGCTCGTATGAGTGTTAGCAGAGCAGCGTGTAGGATTATTCCTTTTGAGGGGGGAGAGTAGAGCATTAAAACATTCCAGTGTGAGAACTTATCATGCTCAAGTAGCTTTAGTGAGGAGTATGTTTGTAACTATCAGTTTTGTAACTATGACTTTTTCTTTCTTTTTTTCCCCACACTCGGTTATTACGAAAACTTAGATTTGTAACACAAGACACTTGTGAGTAAAAGCAACTGAATAAAGAGCATTTTCAGGATTTAAAAAAAAAAAATAAGTATTCTGAATAAATCTAGAATCCAAGTTCCCTGACTGTTGGTTCGAAATTTTCTGTTGAGCTTGTCTGCTGTCAGACAGGGAAATCACGGCTGGAGGTTACCTGAATACTCTGACTTCTTTATCAAAAAGTGATTTTGACTATTTTTGTTCATGTTTGACTTGTTTACTGACTTTTATTATTATTATTATTATTATTATTACTGTGTTTTGCTACATTTTTAACTTTGCTGAAGAGTAAAAACCATTATCAGTCCTGTTCTCCTCCAATCCTCCATGGCAGAATTCCTAACTGTAAATAAAAACATCCTTCCTGTCAGATAATAGTTGTGTGAACTGTGCTGTAATTCTGTAATACCAGGTTTACTAAAGTAAGGAATCAATAAACCATAATAAAAGCAGGAAGTTTGTGTTGGTTCTATTGTTGTTCACAAGATCTTACTTTTTTCATAGAGATTTTGCTGATTTGGGGATAAAAAGAACACATATAAAACTTTAAATTATTATAATCAGACGGTGTTCATTTGAGTTGAACATGCTGGCATTGCAAAATCATGATTTCTGCAAGTTCACATTCTAATCCAATAAATAAATCCTAAAAGAGTCTTAATTATTCTCTGGTTTTATATGTTGGGTCTTAAGAAACCTTTATGTCTTAAAATGTGGTCTTAGTTAAATTAGTGTAACTACCATCACTCTTTTTCTTACTGAGAAAGGCAGCAGTATTTTTTTTTTTTTTTTTTTTTTTTTTTTTTTTTCTTTGGATAAAATTGGGAAAATAAGTGAGTAAAAAAAAAAAAAAANCATCCACCAACTACAATGTTTAAAATAAAAAAATATTCAGCAAACACCAGGAAAATATACATTGTTGTGCTCACATGACCAAGGTTAGTTTAATCAGATATTTGAAAGAATTATATTTTGTGTATATTTTATTCAAATTTTGTGCTTTATCCATATAACCTGTTTTGTCCCTGTTCTCAAGAATCACTGAATAAATACATTGTCTGGACCAGCATGAAAAT